CTTCTGTTTCTTTAGTTCTTTTTTTCTCATGCTCAGACTTCTCACGGTCAGAGCAACCGTCACAAAGAGCTATGTACAACATAGACATTAGAATTTGTTTGCAGTTTAGGTCTTGTGTACTGCTGGCTAAGCTGTGACTCGAGAGTGGTAAGTTACTAGGTAATCAATCTGACTACCAGTGTTTCTATTATTTCCTCTTCAGAGAGACCCTGGGAACGAATTTTCTTGGTACTAAGAATCCTTTATTGTTTTTCAAGACTAACACTTTAAGACATGAGCGCCGATGGCAAGTATACCGAGTGCTGTTTAAATCTGAACATGAACTCATCCATAGAGGAAAGAAGACTTACTTTTGAAGAAATGGCTCCCAACTGGGATAAGGTATACCTAAATAATCTTATTTCCCCTCTGCCCTCCAGTTTTCACCATTCTCCACTGAACGCCTGGAAGAGGCTGGCCGCCCCTCCTCGAAAAATTAACCAAACGCCATCCCACAATGGGCCAATTTAAATTTCACAAAGACTTTGGGGACAGTTACTGTGGGTACATGGCAAAAAAAAAATTGGCCAATAGCTGACTGGCGCGTCCCCAGTAATGATTCCAGAAGTATTTGTGCAAGGTAACTTGGTGCAGTTTCCTCTTTTCTAAGGGTGGTAATGGTATTAGTCTTTTTATTCCTTGTTCAGTTTTTTCACTGACGTTGTACCAGTCACAGTTGTTAGATGTAGTTAATGTTATCATAGATCACTAATGTTGACTAAGTGCCTCAGTTCCTAATTTATGCCCTCTTTACAATCACAAAAAAAGTTAGACAAGAGAGGCCCACGGCGTTAATGTTAGATTATCCTCCATTTGCGCAATTTTCTGTAAATCGAATTAGCGATCTTCTGAGTTTCCTCCTGGTTCCAGAGCCAGTTCTTTCTCAAACTGTCTAGGATCGGGAACCCATCAGTAGGATAACATAAATTACTCCCAAATTGCGTTTTGCCAAATTGCAAAAGATTTTTACAGGAAACCCAGAGTGCGATAGTCTGTGAATACTGCGGCAGTTGAATTTCCCTCCATTGATGAAAACCTTAATGATCAATTTTTTTACATGAAATATTAATTGATTTTTTGTGTGCAACCTTTGCTGCGCTGTGCAAATGCTGCCGTATACAGTTTGGGCCCTGACAACTCTGAAATCATAATCATCTGGCTTAGGATGCAATTAATTGACCTTACCCCGGAATTAGAATAAGCCAAAATTTTGCCACAGATCCCCTCTATTTGGACTACTGAGAGATGCTATTTTTAAAACATGTTGTATCAACCAGATTTCTCAATTATGCAATGAAACAGATGGCTGCCTCTGCTGGGTGTTATGGCTGAGCACATAAATCAGCCGTTTGCCGTATCTTAAAATTGCCAGCGCTGCATTTGATTCTGTAGGTGTCGCTTTCCTTCACTAAGGTTTGAAGCAATCAATGCTAAAACAAGTGATATCTATTATAGGCTACATATTTCGTTGTCGTTGCAGATTAGCGAAAATGTGGGTTACAAAGGCCACTTTCTCTGCGTGGAGGCGTTTGATCGCGCTCTGAGCTCCACCGATGTTTATCCTAATTCCTCAAAAAACATAAAAATTCTTGATGTCGGAGCAGGCACAGGAGGGATTGGCGAGATGTTAAAAGCTCGAGGATACACTAATGTCGACGCACTGGATATTTCCCAGGAAATGTTAAATTTAGCGGCCAGTAAAAATCTGTACAAGAAACTGATCTGTGCTCCGTTGACTGACACGCATATGAAGGAGATAGAAACTGCTGAATATGACGTGGTGTTGTGTGGGGGTGTCATAGCGTATGGACAAACGCCGCCTGGGGCGATTGAGCAATGTGCACGTTTTCTGAAACCCGGTAGGTGCAAAAGGTCTTACAGCTGAACATTTTAATTGCTATAAAACAAGTTTTGTCATAATCAATCAATTATCATCATCATCATCATCATCATCATCATCATCGTGGTCATTATCGTCAAACTACCATAATCATCACCATTACCATCATAATGGCTATTCTCCTTCACAGAGGCCTCTTTGTGTCGTCAGGAGGCTGGCCGTGAGGGAAAAATAATAGCGCTCAGACGATGGTGGGAAGAGGAAGACCATAAACAATACTGAAACAATAGAGTACTAAACTGATGATGTCTTA